ATCTGGGGGTTCTGGAGCTCTCGGCGAGCGCTCTAGGGGCCTCCTTGGGCCGTCGAGGAGCGCCCAAAGAAGCTCTCCGGGTGGCCCGCGGGCTCTCTGGGCGGCCCGGGGCGCTGCCACTGCTTCTGCTACTCGCAAGCGCTTCGCCCAGAATTGTAGTGCAGACTAGGGCTGACCTGTGGGCTACGCCTTCTTGCGGGGGGAACAGGTGGTGCCGCCAGGATAAGGTTGCGCCGTATGTTCGCTTTCCACACCTCGCAAAGAAGCGAGAAAGCCTGGAGGTCACTGGCGTCGTGTCCAAGAAATTCTGGGTTGACGCTCGCCGCTGCCCGGAGGACGAGATCGAACACGGGGGCGGCATGATTAGAAGAAGAAAAAAACCGTAAACATAAGCTTTTGGGCGCGCCGCCCTTGGCGCGCTCCGCGCGCCAAGGAGGGGGGTTCAGCGCGGATCCAAGAAATCCGCGCGGAGCGCCCCCCCCAAAATATGTTCATTGCGTCTGTTCTTCTTCGGGTGATAGATTGTGTCCGCGGCCAGGGTGCCGCGTCCTCCGCGCCCGCCCCCTGGGGCGTGGGCAGGATCGAGCGCGGTCCGTGGCAGAGGCAGGAGGGCCGCGGTGCCCGAACTCTGGGCCGCGGACATTTAGCACGCCACCCTTGGGCCGCGCCCCGACGATGACGATGACGATGACGATGACGATATCGTCGGGCCGTCTTGGGGCCCTCTTGGGCTGTCTCGGGGGCCCTCCTGAAGGCCTCCTGGGGCCGATGCGGAAGTCCCCTGAGGCCGTCTTGAGCGGTCGAGAATCCGAAACAGCGAGCAATACAGAATCCTTCAACACCCCCTTCAAAAACAAACGAAAATCTGGGATTGTTGCTTCTTAAATCTCTCCCAAGGTTCCTCTTGGGCCTCCTGTGGGGCGGATTAGGGCCTCGAGGTCTTCCAGGGCACGTTTGGGGTCTCGGGCCCCTCTTCGCCCCTCTTGGGGCGCTGTTGGGGCCCTCTTGGGGTCTTCTTGGCGATCTGTGAATCTTCTTGGGGCTGTCGGGGGCCGTCTTGGCGCTCTCTTGGGCCGTCTTGGGTCTTGGCGTCCTCTTGGGGCCCCTTGAAGGCATCCTGGGCTGCCTGGGGCCGATGTGAAAAGGCCCCTGAGGCCGTCTGAGGCAGTCGAGAATCCCAAAAGGCGAGCAAATTAACATTCGTCGAAAACGGGCTGGAAATCATTGAATGTTGCGTCTTCAGGCTCTCTCGGCGGTCCCCTTGAGGCTCTCTTGGCCTGGATTTGGACCTCGTGGGCGCCTCCTGGGAGTCCTCGGAGGCATGTTGGGGGTCTCGGGCCCCTCTAGGTGCCTGTTGGAGCCTCGTTAGGGCCGTCTTTGGGATCTGATGGCCGCCTCTTGCAGCCTTCTTGGGGCTCTCTGAGCCCGTCTCGGCGCCCTCTTGCGCCGTCTTGGGGTCCTCTTGCACCGTCTTGGGGCCCTCTTTGGGGCCTCTTGGGCCGTCTCGGGCCACTGTGGAAGGCCCAGGACGCCGTCTTGGGCGGCCGGGGACCCGAAACGGCGATCAACCTAAAATCCGTCAAACACCCCGGGAAAATCTTTGATTTCTCTTGGGTGTTTGACGAGGGAACACCCAAGGAAAATCTGCCAGGGCACCCGAGAAGTTGTTTTTCCTTGCAAATCGTCGAGCGCCCAAGGAAAACCTGTCAGGAGCCCTCCGGGAGCGCTCTTGGGGCGTCTTGGGCTTCTTCAGCCGTCTCGAGGCCATCCTGGACAGCCTTGGAGCGCCCTGTCGAGTCGTCTTGCGGCCCTTCGAAACGTCCCAGGACCGTTTGGGGGGCAGCCTGGGGCCGTCTTGGGGCACTCCAGAAGCTCTCATGACGGCCAGAGGGGGTCCTGCAGCGATGTGGGCCGCAGGCCCTTCTCGCACGCAAGTGCCCCTGCAATGCAGGTAAGATGACGTCGGGCTCCAGCTTCGCCTTCCGCATCTCGCTCAGCAGCGCCAGCGCCATCTGCCACTGCTCGCCTTTCGCGCACGCGCCGAGCCCAGCGCTGTAACTGATGACGTCGGGCTCCACATTCGCCTCCCGCATCTCGCTGAGCAGCGCCAGAGCCCGCTGCCACTGCTCGCTCTTCTCGCACGCGCTGATCCCAACGTTGTAGCTGACTAGGGCTGACCCGTGGACTTCGTCCACGTTTTCCAGCGTGGACAGTGTGGGTGTGTTGCTGGATGGCTGCGTACTGGATGCTGGATTGCTTCACGATTGCGTGGCCAGCGCGGAGAAAGAACCCGCGGGAACATCGTCCGAGGGTATCGAATCGCCTCCGAAATAGGCGATCAGCGAAGGAAGAGCCGAAGTGGCTGGTGGGATGCTGCGACGGGACTCTCAAGGGCATTGGAGGTGCTCCGAAGCAAAAGAAAATAAGATATCCTGAAGTGCCTCATTTTCCTACGGGGCGGGGCGGACGAATGGTCCGCAGGAGCATCGTCCGAAGATATCGTACTGCCTCCGAAGTAGTGGTGGGGATGAAAAAGTGTGAGGAAGCTGGCGGGACGCTTCCACGGAACGGCTGGCAGGAAATGGGAACAAAACGGGTGCATGAAAGCTTTGTGACCGGCGCGGACGCCCAGTGGCGTGGTGGCGCACACCCTGGTTAGAAATTTCCGTCCGATCAGACTTTGAGGAATCCGCAGCTGCCTCGGAACGAAGAAGTATGGCCGTGAACCTACGACTGTCCTGAACAGGACACCCGTGCGGACATAATCTGTCGCGAAAGGAAAGGAAAACAAGAGAGGCATGGTTGCTCTATTTTCCGAGGTTGCCGGCGCGCGTTCGGAGGCCTCTGAGCCTGGGCGGAGAGATGCAGGGTGTGCGGATGCAACGACTGGATGCGATACCCTTGGACGACCATGTTCAATAATCACGGCTGCGAACGGCGAAGCCCCAGGGCCGACGAGACAAACACGCAAGGGCAACCTCGACAATGTGACTGTGCGCAGGAGGTCTCCGGCGTCTGTCGAGGAGAGGAAGACGCTCCGCGGGCAGGCCTTCGTGCGGTCAGGCACGCGTCGACGCAATCGGCACCCTTGGCCACGGCGCCGAGTTGAACGCGCTCTCCACCTCCTCTTGGGCCTCCTCCTTTCCTTCATTCCTCATCCCTTCAATCTTCGAGCATCAATCGGCGAGGCGACGACGAAGCTTCCGAGAAGACAAACATCCAAGGCCCTCGCAGTGTCGTCCAACACGGCTCCTTTGGGTCTGAGAGATGCCTCTCGCCTCTCGTGAACACCTCCCTCGCGGAAGCAATTCGGAAGGCTCGTAGGGCCTCCTGGGAGCCGTTTGGGAGCCTCTTGGAGTCTCTTGGGAGCCTCTTGGGGGTCTACCGGGGCCCGTCGGGGGCCCCTGTGGGCCTCCTGGAGGCCTCTTGGGGTCTCCTCGGGCCTTCTGAGGGCGGATAGCTGGATATTTCAATCTGTGGTCCCTCTCTTGGGCCACTGTTGAGGCCTTCTTGGCGGCATTTTTGGCTCTCCTGCGCGCCTCTTGGGCCGTCATGGGGCCCTCTTGGTCCGTCTCGGAGCTCTCTTGGGGGCCTCTTCGGCCGTCTTGGAGCAGTCTTTGGGGCCTCTTGGGCGGTCTTCGAGCGTCGGGAAGCCGACAAAGAGAGACAGCAAAAAACTTAAGAAAAAACAATGAACTTCAACAAGTTGTTTCCTCTCGGGACCCTCTTGAGAGGCCTCTTGGGGCGTCTTGGAGACCTCCTGGGCCGTCCTTGGGCCAATCTTGGGCGTCTTGGCCCGATCATTGGGCGTCTCGGGACACTCTTGGGCCGTCTTGGGGCCCTCTTGGCCCGTCTTGAGGCTTGCCTGGGCGACCTGGGGCGGCCCGGGGCTAGCCCAGAGCGGTTTTGACCCACTGGGTCCTGCGTCATTCTGGCACGCGGCGCCCCCGGCGTTAGAGTATAGACTCGTGCGAACCCGTGGATTAAATCCACGGTGTGCTGAACCTGGGACTCGTTCGCCGCGGGTGAACAGCTCATCGAAATTGAATAACTCGGGTGTGCCTGGGCCAGTGTCGGGACCGTCTTGGGGCCGTCGCGCCAGTGGGCACGAAGAGGGCCCCCAGAGGGCCCCAAGAGGGCTCCAAGAGGGCCCCAGGACGCCGCTGGGCGCGGGCCCACCATTCCGCCACGAAAAGGCCTTTCTGTGGCGGAATGCACCTGGCCCTGTCTTGGAGGGGCCAAGAGGCCCAAAGAGGGCCGCAAGAGCGCCCCCAGGGGGCCCCAAGAGGGCCCCAAACCGCATGTACTTGATATGCTTCGTGGGCTTGCGAGAGGGGCGCCCAAGTACATGCGTCATGGGGGCTTGTCGGGGCCTTCTTGGGGCCCTCCTGGCCCCCTCTTGGGGCCCTTCGGGAGCGCTCCCACCCTGTCCTGGCCCCCTCTTGGGGCCGACATGGGCGCCTGAGGAGCCGTCCTGGCGCAGTCTTGAGCCGTCTTGGGGCCCTCCTGGCAGCCTCCTGAGGCGTCTTGGGATGATCTTGAGGGCCTGTCTGGCCGTCTTGGACGCTTCGAAGACGAAAAGTACGGGAACAATCAAAACATGTACGTTTTCCCTGAGGATTGGGACGATTTTTCCTTGTTCGGGCTCTCCTGGGGATCTCTCCGGAGCGAACTTGGAGCATTTTGGTGGCCTCTTGGGCCGTCGGGCGGCTGTCTTGGGCGTCTTCGAGCGCTCGGGGCCCGTCTCGGAGGCCCTCTTGGACGGTCTTCGGCCGTCTTTGGGCCCTCTTGGGGGCCTCCGGGGGCTCCGAGCGCCTGCCCGCAGTGGGCCGAGCCGGGCCGATGACGTTGGGCTCCAGCTCCGTCTTCCGCATCTCGGCCAGCAGCGCCAGAGCCCGCTGCCATTGCTCGCCCTTCTCGCACGCGCTGATCCCAGCGGTGTAGCTGACTAGGGTGTACCCGTGAACTACGTCCACTTGCGAAGTGGTGAGGCGCTGCCGTCAGGCGATCACGATGGATGGCGTCAGGTTCGCCTTCCACATGTCGCCGAGCACCTTGAGCGCCGCCTGATTGGGGAGCATGGGAGATGAGGAGGCTCGATCGGGCCATGTGCAAAACGCATTGGGAACGGAGGCGCGATGGAGCAGCCGGGGGAGAAGAACATGGATGTTTTCCCATCCACCTCATTATCCTTCTGTTGCTCCTGTTCCTCCTCCTCCTCCGTTTCCGTCTCCTCCTCCTCCTCCTCCTCCTCCTCCTTCTCCTATTCCTCCTCCTCCTGCTCCTCGTCCTCCTCCTCCTCCTCCTCCTCCTCCTCCTCCTCCTCCTGACTCCCTCATCCTTCTCAGTGCCCTCCTGATCATCCTCGTCCCTCTCATCCTGTCCCTCATCATCCTCTTCTTTCTCCTCTCCTTCGGGTTCTCCCGCCTGTCCCTCTGCAGCGCTGGAACGCAGCGCGACAACACCCTTCGGCAAGGCGTCAAAAAAATGCGATTGCGTCGAAGGCGTCGGCAAGGCCCAGTCTCGCGGGGTCTTCCTCGGCCTCTCTCGGGGCTCTCTTCGAAGTTCCTGAAATATTCTTGGGTTCCTTTGGGAAGCTCCTCGCGGCTTCAAGGCCGTCTCGATAAGGGCCTGGAGGGCGCCAGGACGGAACCCCAAAAAGCTTCGTGGTGTTCGTTTTGAGGGGCGCTCAAGACGAACAGAGCGCGGCCTCTCGCGGGGTCTTCCTAGGCCTCTCTCGGAGCTCTCTTCGAAGTTCCTGAGATCTTTTTGGGTTCCTTTCGGGGGCCCCCCCCGGCTTCAAGGCCGTCTTGGTAGGGGCCTCGAGGGCGCCAGGACGGAACAAAACAGAGCTTCCAGGTGTTCGTTTTGAGGGGCGCTCAAAACGAACAATGCCCAACCCGTGGCGGGGCCTTCCTAGGCCTCTCCCGGGCTCTCTTCGAAGCGTCTGAGATCTTCTTGGGCTCCTTTGGGAAGGTCCTCGCGGCTTCAAGGCCGTCTCGGTAGGGGCCTCGAGGGCGCCAGGACGGAACCAAAATGAGCTTCGTGGTGTTCGTTTTGAGGAGCGCTCAAAACGAGCAGTGCGTGGTCTCTCGCGGGGTCTTCCTAGACCTCCCTCGGAGCTCTCTTCGAAGTTCCTGAGATCTTCTTGGGCCCCTCTGGGTGGCTCCTCGCGGCTTCAAGGCCCTCTTGGTAGGGGCCTCCGGGGCGCCAGGACGCAACCAAGAAGAGCTTCATGGTGTTCGTTTTGAGGGGCGCTCAAAACGAACAGAGCGCGGCCTCTCGCGGGGCCTTCCTACGCCTCTGGGGGGGGGCTCTCTTCGAGGTTCCTGAGATCTTCTTGGGCTCCTTTGGGAAGGTCCTCGCGGCTTCAAGGCCGTCTCGGTAGGGGCCTCGAGGGCGCCAGGACGGAACCGAAAAGAGCTTCGTGGTGTTCGTTTTGAGGGGCGCTCAAAACGAACAGAGCGCGGCCTCTCGCGGGGCCTTCCTAGGCCTCTGTCGGGGCTCTCTTCGAAGTTCCTGAGATCTTCTTTGGCTCCTTTGGGGGGCTCCTCGCGGCTTCAAGGCCGTCTCGGTAGGGGCCTCCGAGGGCGCCAGGACGGAACCAAAAAGAGCTTCGTGGTATTCGTGTAAAAGAGCGCGGCCTCTCGCGGGGCCTTCCTAGGCGTCTCTCGGGGCTCTCTTCAAAGTTCCTGAGATGTTGTTGGGATCCTTTGTGAAGGTCCTCGCGGCTTCAAGGCCGTCTCGGGAGGGGCCTCGAGGGCGCCAGGATGGAACAAAACAGAGCTTCCAGGTGTTCGTTTTGACGGGCGCTCAAAACGAACAGTACCCAGCCCCTGGTGGGGCCGCAAAGAACGCGAAGGCGCGGGGAAAAGCACGCACCGGGAGCTCGCAGGGAACCTCGTCAGCAGGAACGGGGGAGGCTGCTGAGCTTCCAGGAACGTCGAAGGGGCCATTTTGGGCGCGCGGGGGAGGCCGCTGAACTTGCAGGGCGCCTCCGGAAGCATCTCGGAGCGCCGGAAGAAATCCCAAGAGAGCCCGGAGGAGGCCGCGGAGGGCCGGAAGAGGGCCCCGAGGCGCCAGAAGGGCCGGACAGGGGGCCCGAGGCAACCGAAAAGAACGCGAGGGCGCGGGGACAAGCACGCACTGGGAGCTGGCAGGGAACCTCGTCAGCAGGAACTTGAAAGTGGCTCGTTTTCCAAAGGAAATGCATCTTTTTCCTTGGACCGTCTGGGGGTCCTCTTGGGAACCTCTTGGACCGTTTTGGATCGGTCTTGGATGCCTCTGGGGGGGTTCGGAGCGTCGGGAAGCCGGAAAAGCGTGGAAGCGAAAAACCTCGGAAGAACCAATGAAAATCAACGATGTTGACCTCTCGGGGCTCTCTCGGGAGGCCTCTTGGGAGGCCTATTGGGCCGTTCCTGAGGCGGTCCCCTGGTCCGCCCCCCTCTCTTCGAAGCAGTTTGGAAGCCCCGTGGCACCTCTTGGAGACCTCTGTTGGGCTCCTGGGGGCCTCGTGGGCCTCTCTGGGCTCGTCTATCGCGCCCCTTGGGCTGTCGTGGGGCCCCCGAGGGCCTTCTTGGGCGGTCCTCGGGCCGTCTTGGAGCCATCTTGGGCCGCTCTTCGGGCCATCTTGGGGTCCCGTTGGCCTGTCTTGGGCGCCTCTGGGGCTGTCCTGGGGCCGCCTTGGACCGTCTTGGGGCCCTCTTGGACCGTCTGGGGGTCCTCTGGGGGACCTCGTGGACAGTCTTGGAGCGGTCTTGGATGCCTCTGGAGGGGTTTCGGAGCGTCGGGAAGCCGAGAAAGCGAGGAAGCAAAAAACCTCGGAAGAACCAATGAAAAACAACAATTTTGGCCTCTCGGGGCTCTCTTGGGAGGCCTCTTTGGAGGCCTATTGGGCCGTCTTGGGGAGCTCTTCGGCCGTTTGGTGACTTCTTTTGGGTTCCTGGGGGCCTCGTGGGCCTCTCTGGGCTCGTCTATCGCGCCCCTTGGGCTGTCATGGGGCCCCCGAGGGCCTTCTTGGGCGGTCCTCGGGCCGTCTTGGAACCATCTTGGGCCGCTCTTCGGGCCATCTTGGGGTCCCGTTGGCCTGTCTTGGGCGCTTCTGGGGCCGTCCTGGGGCCGCCTTGGACCGTCTTGGGGCTCTCTTGGACCGTCTGGGGGTCCTCTGGGGGGCCTCGTGGACAGTCTTGGAGCGGTCTTGGATGCCTCCGGGGGGGTGTCGGAGCGTCGGGAAGCCGAAAAAGCGAGGAAGCAAAAACACCTCGGGAAAACCCATGAAAAACATCAATTTTGGCCTCTCGGTGCTCTCTTGGGAGGCCTCTTGGAAGGCCTGTCGGGCCGTCTTGGGGAACTCTGGGGCCGTTTGGTGATTTCTTTTGGGCTCCTGGGGGCCTCTTGGGTCTCTCTGGGCTCGTCTATCACGCCCCGTGGGCTGTCTTGGGGCCCCCTAGGGCCTTCTTGGGCGGTCCTCGGGCCGTCTTGGAGCCATCTTGGGCCGCTCTTCGGGCCATCTTGGGGTCCCGTTGGCCTGTCTTGGGCGCTTCTGGGGCCGTCCTGGGGCCGCCTTGGATCGTCTTGGGGCCCTCTGGGACCGTCTTGGAGCGGTCTTGGATGCCTCTGGGGGGGGGTTCGGAGCGTCGGGAAGCCGAGAAAGCGAGGAAGCAAAAAACCTCGGAAGAAACTAATGAAAATCAACGTTTTTGGCCTCTCGGGGCTCTCTTGGGAGGCCTCTTGGGAGGCCTGTTGGGAGGCCTGTTGGGCCGTCTTGGGGGGCTCGTGGGCCGTCTTGGGCCAATCTCGGGCGTCTTGGCCGGATCATTGCGCGTCTCGGGGCCCTCTTGGGCCGCCTTCGGAGCATCTTGAGCGGGTCGGAGCCGTCTTGGAGCGGCTCGGAGCCGTCTTTGGGCCGTCGGGGCGGCCTCCGGAACGTCTCGGAGCCGTTTCCCGGCATTTGGCGCTTTTTCCTTCCGGCACGCGGTTCCTCCGGCCATATAGTATAGACTAGGGCTGACCCGTGGACTAACGGCCACGCAAGATGTCCGGACTGGCACGTTGTGGCGGAAGTGCTGCCGAAAGGCATTCGTCATGACGTTGGGCTCGGATTTCTCTTTGTTGCTGCTGATGTCTTCTGCCGCAGGCTGATTACGCTGGATCGTTCTACTTGCCTGCTTACCTGCTTGCGTGTTGTCCTGCTCGCGTTGCTGCTGGCCTTCTGGCCCGACAACTTGCTTGTCTGCTTGCCTGCTTGCATGCTGGCCAGATTCCCTAACTCATTGTTTGTTTTCTTGCTTCATTGTCTGCTCATCTGCTCTCTGCCGCGAACTGCTGGGCGCTGCTTGCTGCTACTTGCTGCTGCCTGCTGCTTCTCGCTGCTGCTGCCGCCTGCTGATGACGTGCGCCGGTTTCCGCCTGCGGCGTCTGTGTGCTGCTGTTTGCTGATTGGTGCTGGTTGTTGTTGTGCCTGCTGCTGCTTGCTGCATGCTGCTTCTTGGTGCTGGTGGTGCGAATGCCTGCTGCGGCTACTGCTGCTGCTGCTGCTGCTGCTGCTGCTGCTGCTGCTGCTGCTGCTGCTTGCTGTTGCTCATGTTGCATGCTCCTGATTGCCGCTGCTGGCTGCTATTGCTGATGATTTCTCCTGCTCGCTGCTCATGTCTGGCGCTGCTGGCCTTGTGGCTGCTGCATCTGGGGGCCGTACTGGAGCTCCCGTGGGTCGCATTTGGGGCATGTTGGAGCTTTTTTGGGCAATCTTACAAGGTCTTGACGTTGTGGCGCCTTCCGAGGCCGTCCGAGGCCTCTCCCGAGGCTGCGGTGGCCCCCGTGGGAGCGCTCTGGGGCCGTTCCGGGGCTCTCTTGAGGCCGTCCGATGGCCATCCTGGAGGCCAACCTTCCTTGGGCCTTGTGGGGCTGGCTTGGAGGCGTCTTGGGCCCTCCTGGGGGGCTCCTGTGGGCCTCCAGGCCCTGGGTCCTTGTGTGGAGCCGTCTGGAGCCAAGGAGTGGACAGTGGTGGGCATGCGCACCATGAGGAATGCCATTTTTCGCCCGTGGGGGGGGGGTGCACCGTGGCGCTATGCGAGGGCGTGCCAGGATCGGCGGTGGACAAACCTCCCTTTAGTAAACCACCCTTCAATGAAAACGGCCTGGGACCGAAACCGACGGACCTGGACCCGCAAAAACGACGGCCGCGACGCCCTCTCGCGAACCGAAGACGGCTAATTCGCTCATCGACGGGTCCGGGTAGGAGGTCTGTCCACCTCAAATGCATGGGGCCAAAGCCGCCGGTTGGGGCGCCTCTGGGGCCGCCTGCGGGCCCCTGGGGTGACTTTTCGAGGGCGTCCGGGTGCCCCGTGGGGCCGCCTGCGAGCACCCCATGGGCCCTCCGTGGGGGGCTGTCGCGGGTCGTCTGCGCGCTCCCCCTTCGGGCCGTCTTGACGCCCCTGGTCTGCCTCGGGGCGCCTGGGAGGGGGGCTTCCCTCGGGCCGTCCCGGGGATCTCGAGGGGCCGACCTGGGGCTCTCGAGGGGGCGTCGTGCCGCAATGGTTGGGGGCCTCTTGTGGCCCTCTCGGGGCTTTCCGGGGGGCCTTTTCGTGCCCTCCGGGGTCCGTCTTGGGGCTCTCTTGGGTGCCTCTGGGGCAATGTTGGGGCGGTCTTGGAGGCTCATCCGGCCGTCTTGGACGCTCTGCCGACCCAAAGTTCGAGTCTACCAGACATGTGCGTTTTCCGATGGGAATGGGGCGATTTGTTGGCTCGTGGGGGTCCTTTTGGGGGTTTGGGGGACCTCAGGGCTCGTGGGGGCCCTTGGGGGGGCCTCAGGGGGCGGCTTGGGAGCGCCTGGGGCCGTCCTGGAGCCGTCCGCGGGGCGTGCCGCGTCGATCTGGGCCAGTTTTGGACCGTCCGCTGCGCGCTCGGGGCCCCTCGGAAGGCTCGGCGGCGGCCCCGAGGGCTGCCGGGGGCGGCCCGAAGCGTCCGAGGGCCCGCTGGGAGCGGCCAGTAGGGGGCGGGTTCGCTGCCACTGCTCGCAATTCTGGGGAGCGGTGAACGCTGCATTGTAGGATAGATGACTAGTGTGAACCCGTGGAAATTCCACGGCTGGCAGGTCAATGTATTGGTCCCGAACGCGCATGTGTCGCCGACGCCTTCGGGTTTGCTCCAGGGTTTGCTGCATGCTCCAGGCTCCGGAGCTGGTGACTGTCTTCGAGTGTCTTCGGAGGGTCTGGGCTATCTCGGAGTGATCCCTGGAGGGTTCTTGTGGTATCGAAGGCTTCCCGCAGTACAGCCTCGCTACAGCCTCTTGCAGGAGGAGGCGGAGGAGGAGGAGGAGGAGGAGGAGGAGGCGGAGGAGGAGGAGGCGGAGGAGGAGGAGAAGGCGGAGGAGGAGGAGGAGGAGGAGGAGGAGGAGGGAGGAGGAGGAGGAGGAGGAGGAAGAGGAGGAGGAGGAGGAGGAGGAGGAGGAGGAGGAGGAGGAGGAGGAGGAGGAGGAGGAGGAGGAGGAGGAGGATGAGGAGGAGGAGGAGGAGGAGGAGGAGGAGGAGGAGGAGGAGGAAGAGGAGCAGGAGGATGAGGAGGAGGAGGAGAAGGAGGAGGAAAAGGAGGAGGAGGAGGAGGAGGAGGAGGAGGAGGAGGAGGAGGAGGAGGAGAGCGGTACTGGAGATGAGGGTCCACGATCCGAAGGTTCTTGAGGGGGTCTGGGGCAGGTCGGAGTGGTCTATAAGGCCTGGTGTGGGGTCTGGGGCTTGTTTTGGGGCTTCCGGGTCTGGGAAAGGTGCCCCCTGTCAACCCTGCCTGGGTGCCCGGGGTGGAAGTCTGCGGGCTCTCCGCTCTGGGGCTGGGCGCCCTGGAGACTCGCCTGGCGGCCCGCGGAGTGCATCCAAGGCAGGCGCGACGAAGCCGCAGCAGAACAGCTCGTTGGACCTGAGCAGCTTCGCGAAGCTGTTGGTCTTCAAGAGCTCTGAGGGCTCCGAGGTCCGGAACATGAGCGTAAAGCTCTCGAGGAGGTCAGGGGGAGCTCAGAATGGTCCAGGGTCCGGGCTGGGGTCTGGGGCGTGGTACGTCTGGGGTACGACCGGAGGCGCTTGAGAGGGTCTGAGGCAGCTCAGAATGGTCTAGGGCTCGAGGTGGTGTGTGCGGCAGGTTAGAGCGGTCGGAGTGGTCTGGGCGCCAGGGTGGGGTCTGGAGCGTGGTGCGGCTGTGGAGCGACACGAGGCGGTTGAGAAGATCTGGAATAGGTCAGAGTGTCTAGGGCTCGGGGTGGGGTATGGGGCTTGGTCTGGGGCTTGTGAGCGCATGGGAAGGGCCCCCCCTCCCTGGGTAACAACGGTATCTGAAACCGTGGCAGCATGCCGCGACGGCGGCTGGGGTCGACAGGAAGCTCCCGAGAGGGTCTGGGGAAGCTCAGAATGGTCCAAGGCCCGGGGTGGGGTTGAGCAGCTTCCGGCGTCATGGGAAGGTCCTTCTGGAGCCGTTGGGGGGCGTCCTGGAGGTCTTCTGGGAGGCCGTCGGGGGGCGAGAGGGCTCGGTGTGGGGTATGCGGCTTGGTCTGGGGCTTGCGTGAAGCCGTCTCGGGGCGATGCGGGCGTCGTGGAGCCGTCGGCGAGCGCCCGGGGGCCCCTTCTGGGGCCGTCGTCGGGGAGCGTGCTCTCAAGGCTCTCTGGGAGAGGCCGCCTTGGGCCGAGCTGGGGGCGAGGGAGCCGTCGGCGAGCGGCCCAGGGGCCTTCTGAAGGTGTCCAGGGCTCGGTGTGGGGTATAGGGCTTTTGGTTTGGGGCTTGCGTGCAGCCGTCTTGGGAGGATCTGAGGGTCGTGGCTCTCTGGGGGCCCGTCTTGGGCCGAGCGGGGGGCGAGGGAGCCGTCGGCGCGCGGCCCAGGGGCCTTCTGGAGGTGTCGGGGCTCGGGAGAGCCGCGCCGCGGGCCCAGGAGCCGTCGGCGAGCGGCCCAGGGGGCCTTCTGGGAAGCCGTCGGCGGGGCGTGTTTTTGGCGTTCCGGCTGGGTTTCCGCACGCCCCGCGGGCCGACGAAGCATCCTGGGGCGGGTTTTCGACTCAAAGCCATGCTCGCACGCGCTGCGGCCAGAATTGTAGCACAGATGACGTCGGGCTCCAGCTTCGCCTTCCGCATCTCGCTGAGCAGCGCCAGCGCTGGCTGCCACTGCTCGCCCTTCGCACACGCGCTGACACCAGCGCTGTAGCTGATGACGTTGGGCTCCAGCTTCATCTCCCACATCTCGCTCAGCAGCGCCAGCGCCCGCTGCCACTGCTCGCCCTTCTCGCACGCGCTGGTCCCAGCGGTGTAGCTGACTAGGGCGAACCCGTGGACTTCGTCGACGTCGTCTTGGGCCAGTCTTGGCTCGAACTGGACGTCTTGGGCCGGTCTTCGCTCGAAATGGCGAGAAGGTGGACATCTTTCAGAAACCATAGGAGAATCAATGATTTCGTTTGCCGCGGCTCGTTTGGAGCGTCTTCGAGCGGTCTTGGACCGTCTCGGAGGCCCTCTTGGACCGATTCCTCCTCTTCGTCCGCCTTCCGCTCTACCTCCGCCTGGACAGCCTTTGGAGCGTCACAGATGGCTAATTATGGTGGGCCTGCGGTAAGCGTCTCGCCGCTTGTCAATTTTGAAAACACCTGGGGCCTTGACAAAAGTCACCCAGAAGGCTCTGGTGACTTTTTTCCGTTGCCTCTTCGAAGCCTGACGGCGGGCGTTGCCGTCTCCTTGGGAACGGTTTGGGGGCCTCTCGGGGTTTCTTTTCGGGCTCCTGGGGACCTTTTGGGGCCCTCTTGGGGTGTCTTGCGGCCTCCTGGGGGCCTCTTGCGGCCCTCTTGGGCCTCCTGGGGGCCTCTTGGGGCGCCTTGGGTGCCTCTCAGGGCCGCCTGGGGCCGTCTTGGGCGCCTGTGGGGCCATCTTGGGACCGTCTGGAGGCCACCATTGGGCCATCCGTGGCCGCTCTTGGGGCCGTCTTGGGTGCTCCTTGGGCTGTCATGGGCGCCACGGGAGCCGTCCAGGCGCCGTCTGGAGCCGCCGTGGAGGCCTGCTGGGGCCCTCCTGAGGCGTCTTGGGTTGGGGCGGTCTTGGGGCCTCGTCTCGTCGTCTGCGACGCTTTACACACGAAAGACACGGGACGTGCGAACATGTACGTTTTCCCGCGGGTTTGGCATGATTTTTGTTTGTGCGGGCTTGGTCGGGCGTCTTCCTGGGCTGCGCGTGAGGACCCTTCTCGGGGTGTCCAGACACTCTTGAGGCCTTCTTCGGGGCATGCTCAGGACATCTCTGTGGCTCCAATCGGCTCTTGGGTCATTTTGGGCGCCCTCCTCGTCCTCCCCTGGATCCTTCATCCTTTCGATCTTCGTTAGGAGCCGTCTCGGTCTGCACCCTCTAGGGGCCTCCTTCGGGTCATGCTCGGGACATATCGGTGGGTCCTGTCGGCTTGTGGGGCAATTGTGGGCGTCTTCCTCCTCCTCCTCCTCCTCCTCCTCCTCCTCCTCCTCCTCCTCCTCCTCGTCCCTCGATCCTTCATCCCGTCGATCTTCGATCGTCACTCGTCGACGCTCCCCAAGAGACAAGCATCTAATGCCTCTTGGGGGCCGTTTGCTCCTGGGGGTCTTTCGGGGCCCTCTTGGGCTGTCAGGAGTGCCTCTGGGGGCGTCTTGGGGCGATGCGGGGCCGTCTGGGGCGCCTTTCGGGCCATCTTGGGGCCCTCTTGGGGCCATCATGGGACGTTATTGGGCGCTCTCGGGGCTGTCATGGGTGCCTCTTGGGCCGTCGCGGGCGTCTCTGCAGCCGTTCTGGGGCCGTCCCGAGCTGTTTTGGGGTCCTCGTGGGGGCGTCTTGGGGCGATTTTTGGGGCCTGTACAGCCGTCTTGGAAACTGTGCAGACGAAAAAAACGGAGATAGGAACACTGTACGATTTACGAAGGGAGTGGGGCGATTTTTGCCTCTTGGAGCTCTCATGGGGGTCCTCCTGGGCCGTCTCGGGAACCTCCTGGCCTGCCTTGAAAGCCTCTAGGGCTGGCTTAGGGTCCTCTTGGGGCGTCTGGGCGTTCCTCCTTCGCTTCCTCTTCCTTCATGAGCCGGGGTGGGTCGATGTCGCGCCTTCAGAGGGGGAAGACCTGGCCAAACGTCCATGGCAAGCGGCGAGACCTGCGCGGGCACGGAAACGAAAGGGGCGATTCAGGAATCGGCCCGAGATGGCTCATGGCGCCCTTCGCTTTTGAGAGCCCCTGTGTGAAGGGCTGGTCACGTCACCGCTCGCTCTTGGGAGCTGTGCCTGGGAGAGCTCTCTACGCTGCGGCTCGCTCTTGGGAGCCTTGGTGAGAAGAGCTTTGTACTTCACCGATCGCTCTTTTAGTGGGCGTCTCTGGGCCTGCTTGGTGGTCCTTGTAGGGGTCTTTCTCGGGTCATTCTGAAGTTTTTGTTGTCTGCTCTGGGAGCGTTTTGGAACGTCTTAGGGCCATCTTGGAGCTCTCTTGAGGCTGCCTGAGGCCGTCTTGGGAGCCCCTTGGGGCCCCCTCGGAGCTCTCTTGGGGCCGTCTTGGGGTTCTGTGAGGTCGTTTCAGGGCTCTCTGGCGTCGTCTTGGGGCCCTTGTGGGCCGTCTTGGAGCCCTCTTAGGGGCCGCTGGCGTCTTCTTGGGGCGCTTTGGGAGGCCTCTTGACGTGTCCTGTTCCGCTGAGGAGCACACAAGGCGGGCATGCTGAAAATAGACGTTTTCCCATGGGAATTTGACGATTTATGCCTCTTTGGCGTGCGCTCGGAGCCCTCTTGGGGCGTCGTTGCGGCCTCTTGGATCGTCGTGGAGCCCCCCCCGGAAGGCTTCGGGCCCTCGTGGGCCGTCTCGGGACCCACTGAGGCCATCTTGGAGCGCTCTTGGACGGTCTGGGAACCCTAACCCCTCTGGAGCGCCTCTGGGACCGGCCTGAGCGATTTTGCCCCGTGGTGGCGCCGTAAAGGGGCGATTTGTGCACACGAGGCCCTGGGCAATTCTCGCACGCGCTTCCACTGGCCATGTAGGAGAGACTAGGGCTGACCCGTGGACTTCGTCCACGGTAAGCTGCCACGAAGTGGCAAGTGATTTGCGCTCGCCTCCCACATCGCTCCGTAATGGCGGGCGGGCAGGAGACGCCCCCTCGCGTCGTGAAAGAATCGAGGCGGAACATGAGAGGCCTCCCACGTGCATCGGCGATGCAGCGGCGACGTCGGCGGTGCTTCGCCGAGGTCTGCGTGAGAGACTCAGGCTCCGAATCGAGCCGCATCGACGATGCATTGGCGATGCGGCTCAATCCTCCGACCCCATCTACCCTGACCGCATCTTGGAGGCCCGAGAACACGTGTTTGGTAATGTTCAACCCCTGGGGGCCCTCGCAAGGCCCCCGGACACCGTGAGCCAAGCAGGCCGGGAGGAGAGAACGGTCCGCGGGAAGGGGTCCAGCGGCGTCTTGTGGGCGTTTGGGGGCCACGGGGGGTTCTGTTCGGGCGTCTTGGGTGTCTCTGGGCCGTGTTGGGGCCTTCGGAGGCCGGCGTAAGCGCCTCGTGGGCCGCTTCTGGGGCCGTCTTGGGTGCCTCTTGGGCCGTCTTGGGCGCCTCCTGGGCCGTCGCGGGGCCGTCCTGGACCGTCGTGGGACCGTCTCGGGGCACTCTTGGAGCGTCTTGGGGTTCTCTTGGAGGCCTCATGGACCGTGTTGGAACGACCTCGCAGGGTCCTGGAGCCGTGTTGGGCCGTCCGAGGGATTAGCTGGCAAGAGCCTGGGAATCCTTCAGGCAACAACGGAAAATCCATGTTTTGGCCGTCTCCTGGGCCGTCTTGGGAGGCTTCTCGCCTGTCGTCGGGCACTCTTGGGCTGCCCTGGGGCTCGCAAGGGGTCCGCTCGGACCTTCGGGGCGCTCTCTCTGAACCGTCTTGGGGCCGTCTGGGGCCATCGAGCCTCCGTGGGGAGGCCCTCCGAGCGCTCTGGTGACTTTTTCTGCTTGCCTTGCCGAAGCCTGATGGCAGGCGCTGCGTTCTCCTTGGGAACTCTTTGGGGGCCTCTCGGGGTTTCTCTTCGGCCTCCTGGGGGCCTCTTGGGGCCCTCTTGGGCCGACTGGCGGCCTTCTGGGGGTCCTCTTGGGGTCCTCTTGGGCCGTCGTGGGTGGCCGTTCTAGGACCGTCTGGAACCCTTCTTGTGCCATCTGTTTCCTCTCTTGGGGCTGTCTTGACTGCTTCTTGGGCTGTGATGGGCGCCGCAGGAGCCGTCCGGGGGCCGGGGCCGTCTGGGGAGCCTCATGGGGGCCTCCTGAGACGTCTTTGGCCGATCCGATCTTGGGGGCCCGTATGGTGTCGTGGACGCTTCCAAAACGAAAAGCGCGGGAGCTGCGAACATGTACGTTTTCCCTAAGGAGGTTTGTGAGGATTTTTGCTTGTGCGGGCTCTCTCGGGCGTCTTCTGGGAACCCACTTGAAAGGTTTTGGGGGCCTCGTGGGTGCATCTTGGGGCCGTCTTGGGCGCCTGTGGGGCCGTTTTGGGACCGTCTGGAGGGCCCTCTCGGGCCATCTATGGCCGCTCTTGGGGCTGTCTTGACTGCTTCTTGGGCTGTGATGGGCGCCACAGGAGCCGTCCGGGGGCCGTCGGGGGCAGCCTTGGGAGCCTCATAGGGGGCCTCCTGAAACGTCTTGGGCCGATCTTGGGGGCCCGTATGGTGTCGGACGCTTTGAATACGGAAAGCAACGGCGTTGCGAACATGTACGTTTTCCCTTGGGTTTTGGGACGATTTTTGCTTGTGTGAGCTCTCTCGGGGAGCCCGCTTGGAGCGTTTTTGGGGGCCTCTGGGGCCGTCTGGAGGCTAATTATCTTGAGCGCCCTCGAGCGCTCGGGGCCGTCCGGGCCTCCGTGGGGAGGCCCTCCGAGGCCGTCGCGGAGCGCCCTGGGGCCGCCCGAGGCCGTCGCGGAGCGGCCCAAGGCCGCCCGAGAGCGCGCCGGGCCCGTCGGAGGACTCTACTGCCATGTGATCTGATTTCCTTCCGGCACGCGCTTCCTCCGGCCATACAGTATCAACCAGGGCAGGCCCATGGACTTCGTCCACGACGCCTTTCTGGAATGGTTCTCGGAGGAACGGCGGAGATTTTGCCGAAAACCTATAAGCACGGCGGCGGCTAGGGCGGCGGCAGCGAGACCGCGCCTTGGTGTCCGAGATCTCGCAGCGCTCCAGCAGCTTGGCCCCAGCGCACGGCTCGTTCGCACCCCTTCTATAGGGGGCATTATTGAAGTCTCTCGGGGATGTGCGTCCAAGTCGAAGCCCGTCTGAGGCGTCTCAGGAACGCCAGGTGGAAGGCTCGGGAGCCCCTCGGGGAAACCCGACGAGAGCGCCGGGGAAGCTCGCAAGGATCTCCAGGGAGAGTCCAACAGAGGTTCAAGAGGGTGTGGCATGTAATAGGATCTTAACAGAAACTGTTGGGTCGGACGTGCTCCGCTACGTTGGGGAGGCCGCTTTGTTGGAGCTCTGTTGGAGGTGAATCTCGAGCGTGTCAGGAGCACTGGGCCTCTTTAGGCCTCTCGGGGGGTTGAGGGTCTCTCAGGTTCTCTTGTGGGCCTCTTCGGGTTCTTTTTAAAACCCTCTTGGGCCGTCTGGATTCCTCTTGGGCGGTCTTGGGGCCATGTTCAGAGCTCCGCACGTCATCTGGACCATTCTGAAACTCTTTCTGGGCCTTCTCGGGTTTCCTCCTCCTTCGCCTCCTCCTGCTCCTCCTCTCCTCCGCCTTCTTGCCTCTATGCTGCATGCCCTGGATCTTGGATCGTCATTCGTAGACCCTCGGAGCATCGAAAACGGCTGTTGGGGCCTGCGTTCTGCCTCTCACTTCTCGTCCGCCCCTCCCTGTTGGAAGAATTCAGTGGCCACTGAAAGCCTCTTGGGTGCCGTGTGAACACCTCTTGGGGCATTCGCTGCTTCGAGGCGACCTCTCGGGGCCTCGGGGGCTCTCGTCGTTGCCGTCTGGGCCGTCTCGGAACCGGCCTTGGGCCGTCTTGAGCGCCTTTTTGGACCGTCCGGGGGCCGTCGTGGACCGTCCTGGGCGGCTCTTTGGGCTGCCTTGGGTGCCTTCGGGGCCGTCTTGGGGCCGTCCTGGGCGCCGTCGTGGGCCGTCTTGGGGGCTGTCTTGGGTGGCTCTGGGGCCGTCTTGGGCGCCTCTTGGTCCGTCCTGGTCCCGTCTTGGGGCCCCGATTGGAAGGGATCTCAGGACGGTTGTGGGGGGCTCTGTGGATGTCGGGGACGCGACGCGTCGGAGACGAAGAACACGAGAAGACCCAAAATGTAAACTTCCCAAAAGAATGGGGCGATTTTTGCGCCTCGAGGGCCGTCTTCGAGGGCCGTCTTCGAAAGCTCTTGGCCTGCCCTGGGGGCCATTGGGTCCGTCGGGGTGGCCTCTTGAGCGGCTCGGAGCGCCCCTGGGGCCTTAGGGGTGGCCCCTGGAGCGGCTCGGAACCGTCTTGGGGTCGCGGGGGCGGGGCCGTCTCTGGGCCGTCGGGGCGGCCTCTGGAACGTTCGCGGCCGTCGTGGGGCCGTCGGGGCGACATCTTCAGCGGCTCCGAGCCGTCGGAGAACACTCGGCGCAAAAACCCTTCTCGCACGCACTGTACCCGGTATTGTAGTATAGATGACGTTGGGCTCCAGCTCCGCCACCCGCATCTCGTCCAGCAGCGCCAGGGCCCGCTGCCACTGCTCGCCCTTGTCGCAAGCGCTGATCCCAGCGCTGTAGCTGACAAGAGCTGACCCGTGGCCTACGGCCACGACAAGCTCAATGAAATTGCTTGGGGGGTCGGGGCGGAGGCTGGGCACGGACAGTTTCTGAACAGACCGCCCCCTGGGGTGCACATGTTTCGAAATTGTCAGGGGCCACCCCGCTCCATCTTCGCGATGCATGACGCTTCTGCTCGGGATCCGCGCTGGCGCACTGACTTGGTGTCGTCGTCGTCGTCGTCGTCGTCGTCGTCGTCGTCGTCGTCGTCGTCGTCGTTGTGATCGTTCCTCCTCTGGCGCCTGCCTCGACGTAGTGCATGGAGGAGCAATCGTCGTCGTCTTGCGGGTCGGCACGTGCATGTGACGAAAACCACCGACTCCGGAACGGAGCGCGGAGCAGCGGTGGGCCTTGATAAGATTCCTAGTTTGGTCTTCTGCCAGTGCTGCTTGTTTGACGTGTGCTTGCTTGCTGCTGGCGGTAAGCACTCCTTTCCGCCACCGCTAGCGCTTGGGAGCCTCGGCGTTCAGAGCTTTGGGTGTGTCACCGTTCGCTCTTGAAGTCGTCACGTTAGCGCTTGGGAGCCTCGGCGTTCAGAGCTTTGGGTGCGTCACCGTTCGCTCTTGAAGTCTTCGCGTTCAGAGGGTCGTACGTCATCTAGACCCTGGTGGGGCTCGTTTCGGGGTTTTCTGGGGCCTCCTCCTCGTCCTCCTCGTCCTCCTCGTCCTCCTCGTCCTCCTCCTTCTCCTCCTCCTCCTCCTCCTCCTCCTCCTCCTCCTCCTCCTCTTGTGTCCTCCTCGTCCTCGTCCTCGTCCTCCTCTGTCCCTGGATCCTTCCTGGGCTTGATCTCCGATCGCCAACCGTAGACGCTGTGACGACGCTCCCCACACGGCGAGCATCCGAGGCCCTCGGAGCGTCCCAAGCGGCTCTTCTGGGCCTGCGATCTGCGTCTCGCCTCTCGTCCGCCCCCCTCTCACGGAGGCAAGCTCGAAATCACTTAGGGCGTCGTGGGGGCCGGCTGTTTGGGGCCTGCGATATGGCTCTCGCCTGTCGTGCGCCCCCCCCCTTTTGGAGGCAATTTTGAACCCACTTAGGGCCTCTTGGGGGCCGTTTGGGGGACTCTTGGGGCTTCTCGTCGGCTTCCTGGGAGCCTCTTGGGGCCCTCTTGGGCCGTCTTGTGTGCCTCTTGGACCGTCTTGGTGCCGTCGTGGTCTTGGGGTGTCTTGGGCGTCTCTTGGGCCGTCTTGGGCGGCTCTGGGGGCTGTCTTGGGTGCCTCGTGGGTCGTCTTGGTCGCCTCTTGGACCGTCCTGGCGCCGTCTCGGATCGTCTTGGGGCCCTCATGGGGGCGTCTTGGGACGATCTTTGGGGCCGGTGTGGCCGTCGTGGACGCGTCGGAGACGAGAAGCATAATAATGCCCCAAATGTGATTTCCTAAAAGGATGTGGCGATTTTTGCCTCTTGGGGCTGCTCTCCTGGGGCGCTCTCCAGGGCCATCTTGGGAGCCTCCTGGCCTGCCCTGGGGGCCTCTGGGACCGTCAGGGCGGCCTCTTGAGCGGGTCGGAGCCGTCATGGGGCCGTCGGGGCGCCCTCTTGAGCGTCTGGGGCGCCGTCGCGAGCGGCTCGCGGCCGTCGGCCACTCCTTTGTCACGCAGCGTTCCCTGCATTGTAGCAGAGATGACGTTGGACTCCAGCTTCACCTCCCGCATCTCGCTCAGCAGCGCCAACGCCCGCTGCCACAGCTCGCCCTTTTCGCACGCGTTGATCCCAGCGTTGTAGCTGACTGGTGTGAACCCGTGGAAAGTCACTGCTGGCAGGTCAAAGTGTCGGTCCCAAACGCGTATGTGTCGCCGACGCCTGCGGGTTTGCTCCGGGGTTTGCTGCAGGTTTCGGGCTCCAGGACTGGTGGCTGTCTCCGAGTGCCACGGCTGGGCCACCATGGGAGGCTTTTGAGATGGCCTGGGGCAGGTCGGAGTGGTCGTGGGCCTGAGGCGGAGTCTGGGGCTTGGTTTGGGGCTGGCAGGGGAAGGTGCCCCTTGTCACCCTTGTTTATGTACCTGGGGTCATGGTCTGAGGGCCCTTGTTCTAGGGCTGGAGGAAGGCCCTACGAGACGAGACTGCGGATCCTGAAACAGAGAGAGCGTATCGCGGCTTGGGAGCCAGAGGAACCTCTTGAAAGTGTCTCGGGCAGTTGGCAATGGTCTAGGGCCTGGAGTCTGGGGCTTGGTGTGGGGCTTGCGGGGCCAGGGGAAGGTCCGCCTTGTCACCGCTACTGGGGTGCCTGGGGTGATGGTCTGAGGGCTTCCTGCTCCAAGGCTGGAGGGGGGTCCATGATTCGAAGGTTCTTGAGGGGGTCTGGAGCAGGTCGGAGGGGTGTGTAGGGCCTGGTGTGGGGTCTGTTTTGTAGCTTCCGGGTCCGGGGAAGGTCCGCCTGTCACCCCATGCCTGGGTGCCCGGGGTGGAAGTCTGCGGGCTCTCCGCTCTGGGGCTGGGCGCCCTGGAGACTCGCTTGGCGGCCCGCGGAGTGCATCCAAGGCAGGCGCGACGAAGCCGCAGCAGAACAGCTCGTTGGACCTGAGCAGCTTCGCGAAGCTGTGGGTTTTCCAGAGCTCCGAGGGCTCAGAGGTCCAGAGCACGCATGTTAAGCTCCCGAGAAGGTCAGGGGGAGCTCAGAGTGGTCCGGGCTGGGGTCTGGGGCGTGGTGCGCCTGGGGTACGACAGGAGGCGCTTGGGAGGGTCTGAGGCAGCTCAGAATGGTCGAGGGCTCGGGGTGGTGTGTGCGGCAGGTTAGAATGGTCGGAATGGTCTGGGCGCCAGGGGGAGGTCTTGAGCGTGGTGCGGCTGTGGAGCGGCACGAGGCGGTTGAGAAGATCTGGAATAGGTCAGAGTGTCTAGGGCTCGGGGTCGGCAAATTATGAGGTTTGGTCTGAGGCTCGCGGTCGCACGGAAAAGGCCCCCCCCCTGTCACCAATACTGCGAGGCCTGGGTAACAGCGGTATCTGAACCCGTGAGAGCATGCAGCGGCCGCGGCTAGGGTCGACAGGGAGCTCCCGAGAGGGTCTGGGGAAACTCAGAGTGGTCCAGGGCCTGGGGTGGGGTTGAGCAACTTCTGGCGTCATGGGAAGGTCCTTCTGGAGCTGTTGGGGGGCGTCCTGCGAGCTATCTGGGAGGCCGTCGGGGGGCGAGAGGGCTCGGTGTGGGGGTTAGGGTTTGGCTTGGGGCCTGCGGGCGATACGGGTGTCGTGGAGCCGTTGGCGAGCGGCCCAGGGGCCTTCTGGGGCCGTCGGGGAGCATGCTAAGGCTCTCTGGGAGGCCGTCTTGGGCCGAGCTGGGGGCGAGGGAGCCGTCGGCGAGGGTCAGGGGCCTTCTTGTTTTGTCGGGGGCTCGGTGTGGAGTATGGGGCTTGGTTTGGGGCTTGCGGGGAGCCGTCTGAAGGCGATGCGAGTGTCGTGGGAGTCGTCGGCGAGCGGCCCGCCCTTCAGAAAACAATTTTTTTTTGCACTGGGAGGCCCTGCTGGGAGTGCTCTTGGAGCGCTCTGGGAACCTTTTGGAACCTTTTTCGGCCATCTGGAGGCCGTCTTCCTCTATCTTGGGGCCCTCTGAGGCCATCTGGACGCCATCTTGGGCCATCTTGAGGCCGTCCTCGGCCGTGTTGGACGCATCTTTGGCGAACTTGGAGGCCTGTTGGACTCGCGTGGGCCGTCTGAGAGGCGCAGGCCCTCCCGCCAGGCCCCCTCGGGCTTTGCCACGATAGCCAAGTACCACGCGCTGCTCCTGGTACTGTAGTAGGAGAGATGGCGCCTGGCTCCAGCTTCGCCTTCCGCATCTCGCTCAGCAGCGCCAAAGCCCGTTGCCACTGCTCGCCCTTTGCGCACGCGCGGATCCCAGTGTTATAGGAGATGGCGTTGGGCTC